CTTCCCTGAACCAAAAATGCTTTAATTGTTTGCCAGCGCGTATTCCAACTGTACGTTCGCGAACAATTCCCACAATCTTATGAACCATTTTAATTTCTTCTACCCCTGCCGATTCCACCTTAAAACATAGCTTGAAGAGATGATATATCAGAGGGATATTTGACTCGTCTAGACACCCAGAAACTACTGTCGTCTTAACGTATGAGGCAGTCGATGGTGACATCCTACACTGCTTCCCACTTGTAACAAAAAAGAAATTTCCTCGATGTTTCTATTATTTTTTTGCTGTAGAGACTTGCTCAACCGTGTAGGAGCAGACAACATCACTTGCTGTCTTCGAAATACAGATAACAAGCCGTTTCCACGGGTTTGTGAATTTTGGTGGGCTTGTCCATGCTCCACGGCTTTAGGTAACATTGAAAGGCATCTAAAGGTATGAATCAGTCGATGGTGACAGCCTCTAGGTTCTCTTTCCACGTTGTTTTGTGGTTGATATCGTTGTTGTAGCGACTTGTTCAACTTCGTTTAAGTGCAAATCGTTCTAGATCGTCGAGGTCCGCGCACCGAGCTGTTTTGGCGAGTTCGGCCAATACGGGCGTTCGTTAATTGAGAGTTAAGCAAAGAGGAGTTAAGTGTCGTGCAGCGACTCATTTCATATAGTGCATACGTTATGTAGGAGTTTCGTCTGCTATAGCTGGTAGAGGTTCATAGTACCAGTATTACATTTTCCCACTTGGGTCTACTTGGCGCAATTCACTTGCACATGTCGTCGCAATTTCTATTGGTATGTATGTATGTAGACTTGCATGTAAAATATCACTTCAGAAACAACGTTTCTTTCTTCTACGTGTTTTATTGCCTTTATCTCATTTGTTGTCATCCGTTGTTTCTTTGCCTTATTCTCTGCTACTCGAACACTTTCTGCGCTATTTTTTCATATTGTACATCATTGTGACAACTAAGCATAAAAAGTTGATTAACTTTTGCACGAATCACAAAATACTGTTTGGTATGCAACACAATATGCTGGCCGTTTGAGTATAGAGCTTACGAGTTGTTGGCAGTTGGCAAACTGAGCCGGTTACACGCCAAGACGACGACGTTTATTAAGAAGTCAGTGCGCGTAGAAATGCTTGTGACTCGTGAGTATGGCGAGTACAATGTGTGCGTATGAGTGTATGGTGTGGTAGTAAAGGGGCTGTGTTGTGCGTGTTTGGCGTGCACAAGTGTGGCATGGGCATGATTGCTATTACGTTTACGTGAGCATTTTGCGGCGTGTCGAACCGGTTGTCGCGTAGTCGTTGCTAATATATGTACATACATACAAATAAATATATATATATGTATGTACGTGAGCGTGTCCCACAACAAAACAACAGCTGTGCGGTGGGGCGTAGCGGTGTTGGTTATTTTGCCGCACGTCTTGTCAAACCGGTTTCCTTTTTTCTCATTTTACTTATTTCTCCTTACTTATTTTTATAACACATTTTTTTCCATGTATAGCCCCCTAACTCGACGACGACGATGCAAACAACATATATATATTCGTATGTAGCAACTGCTTGTTTTTGTTTTACTCCGTTTCTTCTTGCTGCTTTAACTAGTTTTTTGTATGTACGTAATTTTCCAGTTTTCTTAGTCAGTTTACACTGTTTTTGGTTTTTGTGTTTTGTCATTCCAATGTTTTTCGGTGTCGCTGGTCGTATATACATATGAATGTAGCAAATAAGAATTTGCATTACTGGTTTTCAATGGCAGCAGAGTTGCAACGGCGTTAGCGCCATTATTTGCAGTTAACGGGTTTGCAAGTGCACAATGCGCTCGCTCTCATTGGAGAGTAATATAGTGGAACGATCCACACATACATACATTCAAGCTGCTTCCCTTATATAGCGTGTGCATCTTGATGTTTTTCCAACAAATAGTAGGGGGGATCCCACAGCTGACGGGATTTTGCTTTCTATTAGGAGCTTTTTATTTTGCCGAAGGGCGGTTGCAATTAGAATTTTTTTCTGGAATTACAAATGTTGCTCTATTCAGTATTTGAACACATAATCCTTAGCATAGTAGCATACATATGTATGTTCTAACCACTGGGCTACTGCAGCCGCCAGCGGTAAAGGGCACAGAAAACAAAATATTAGCGTGCAGTTTATTTTACTCCATACTTTTTCCGTAGAGCTTTTTTAAGGTTTTTCAAAACAATTTTGCAAACTTTAATTCACTTCTTTTAGTTTTTAGCACATATATACATACATATATACTTCAGAAACGTTTGTACTAACTAACTACTCGAAGAAACCCGCCTTCAGGCATTCTTGAGCATTTTCTCATGAATGTGAACTAACTCGTTTTTCCACAATCAACAACGTTCTACACGCACAGACATAACATGGGGTCTACATATACATATTTGTATGTATGTACATAGCAACCGTACGTTACTAGATTGTCAGTTCCATTCACTAGCTAGCAGCGAATTGAGCAGCAGCAGGCGGTCTGCAACTTAGCAGTGAATTTTGGGGTCATTGCGTTGTCATAACGTCACAAAAATACTCGTACTCGTACATATATACACACATGCATATATATACATATGTTTAATATATAAAACTACACAAACACATTCATTCAATGGCACAAAAGAAAAAGTTATATATATATAATATATATATATATATATGTAAGTACAATACATAAGCTCGACAAAGCTTGTTGTTTGAAGAGCAGTCAACCCATTTGGGAAGGGTATGTTAGACGAAATGGAAGGCTTGTAAAAGCCTAAATGAAATTCATTACCACTACAGAATATGCAACAACACAATTGAAGTGACGTTTGTATGGGCCCTAGCTCTTTTATGCGGGTTTTGTGGATGAATGAGTGTGACTTATGCATGGACATACCGATATATTGATATATAAAGTTACATACATACATATATTATATATTCATAGCAAGCACGTGTGTTATGTACATGAGCTGAACATATATTTAAGTACATATCATACATTTGTATGTATGTATACATATAATGTAGTATATTTTTTGGCTAATTTGAAACTATTTTGATAAGAGTTTTTCTGCAGTCCACAAAGCGGCTGATTATCACCATTGGCAGCTGATTTATTATACATACGCTGATGTGCACATCCCAACAGTAGTTATGTAGCGATAGCTATAATTATAAAGGGGTTTCTGGCTAATATGATGACAACCTTCAAGCATAAAAAGCCGCTGAAGTGCAGAAAAGAGAAGCAAAGTCCCAGAAAGAGGCCCCTAAATTCCACTTCTAAGCTAACGAATATTGTAGTATGCTTTTCTTTGAAATATTTGAATGTGAACGCCACCTCACGTCCGAAATTTCCGTTATAAAAATTAAAAAGAAAAAAATTAAAAATTTTATAAGTTTTCATCCAGTCCAAAACGGTACCGTTTATGTTCTTTTCACACTGTTTGTTTACGTTTTTGTTAAACAATTTTGAAAGAAATTAAAATGTTTATTTTTTATTGTTCGATTTTTGTTTAGAAATACGAAGAAAGCGCACCAATCGAGGCGAAATAATAAAATCTATATAGGCGAAAATAGAATATGTACTCGATGTTTTGCCTTTAAACGCATATGCATATACATATACTACATGTAACGATGTGTAGTTCAGCTATTTTTATATCCCATTGAGCGAATGAAAATGAAACTGAAGTCAATTATTCTTCCCTACTGTTGATGTTGATTGGTATATGTATAAATAAATATACAAACATACATACATATGATGTATATGTACATAAAATTGTTACGCGGTTGTGTATACATCGAACTACATACGTGTAAAACGCACGCAACTCTATGCAACGCTCGCACTTATTCATTTACCGATTGCATATATGTATGTCCATTGGACTGAAGATTGAAGTCATTCAACTTCTCAGTATTCAGAATTTTAGTTTATAGAAATTCCTGTCGCTAGTAAATATTATTAGAGGCTACATAAAATCTTAATGTATTTCCCCCCCAATAAATGTGGTTGTTTTTAAATGTAGTGATTTGAGAACCCTTATATATTTTTAGAATTTTTAGAGTTGTAAAATGTTGTACTTTTGGGGAAAATATACATATATACATATACTTGTATATAATTGGCGCTTTCTAACCGTTGAAGCGATTTTCGGCAGAGCTCTTCTTTGAATTTGTGGTTTTGCGTCTTGTACGGAGGACTTGACCATTCCCTGCCGAGGGTGACCGCAATTAAAAAATTTAATCTTTTATCATTTTGGGTGTTGGTCGAACATGGTCTTCAGCATAGCAGTACGCAATGAATATTTTGAAATTTATTGTTAAAAAATAGTTTTTATCGATAACATTGAGTATCTATTTATGTACATACATATATAACTATGGGTTCTACTAAAACACAAATCTTATGATAAATCCTTAATTTGTTGCTGTTGTGATGCACCTCAAAGCTTGTGACTCCCCATGACACTTGGCGCTTTTTAATAATAAAAAAAACCAGATTTTTTTTGCATTTTGGCACACTGTATAAATTGTAATGTGTTAATAGTATTTGTTGTAAAGCCATCGTATGTTTGTATAATCTCTTTATGCATTTTTATTTGTATACGTTGAATTTGTTTTATTAATTTGAATTTATTAATAATTTATTTTTATTTACGATTAATATTTTTTCTTACATTTTCGCCATACATTTTTGACTAAAGCTTCGCACATACATACGTTTAAGCGTTCAATTATGTACGGCACATGCATATGCACATATGTATGTATGCAGATATTTATTTGAAGGCTTTTATGGAAAATTTTTAAATATTTTTTAAATATAACGTTTGTGTGTGTATGTGACTTAGTTGAGCTTGGGTGTGTGTGCAGACAATGGAAACATCTTTAAAAGCATAACATACATACATACATACATGTACTACATATAAATAAAAGCGCAAACGTCAAACATTATGGTCTGATTCGATTCGAATTTTATAGTTTATGTGCCGCCCATGCCACATCCGGTCGTGCCGTTAGGCAATTCGACGTCACCAGCTTTGTCATCACAACAACAACAACAGCAACAACAACAACAACATCCACAACAATTATCACTACAACAACAACAACAACTACCACCTCAATCTCTAGTACCACACCAGTCAATAGCACCACCACCTCTACCACAATTACCAACAACCGCCTGTTCAGTCACTCAATTAGCACAAAGTCCGATGGCTAATCTCATGTCAATTACAGAGACATTACCACCGGGTAGTCCAAGGAATGGACCCAGCCCACCGGGACCACCGCCGCCGCGCACTGCATCACGCGGTAGCCAACATTCACCGAATAGTTCGGGTGAGTAATGTCCCAGTGCTAAAAGAAAGAAAAGAAGAAACAATTTAAAACTTTATTGAACTAAGTAGAATTGTTATACACTTAAAAATGCGTTAGTTCATAAATCCGTTATGTATACTGACATTTGGAAACAAAATTCGATCGATCGAACGTTATAATTGACTGTGTAATGCAGTTTTAGCAGCCAGAAAACTCAAATTATCTGTTATTTAAAAATCAATTTACTTAGTTAGTCTTCAGCAGTTTTAGTACAACGTCTGGTCTGAAATAGTTCAAACTTAATTCCATTCTCATAATTCACATTCACTCATATATACACGTACACACATACTCACTCACTTGAACAAACACACCCATACAAATGTAGTATTAATTATGATAGTACTCACCTCATTTATTGTAATTTTGTTGTTTCTAACACCAACTGAACGTAAATTTTTTCTTTTTATTTCTTTTATTTCAGCCGGCTCATCGTCCGGTCGGCGTTCTTCAGGTTCACGTCATGTTTCGAGCACTACAGTTACCAGCTCAGAGGTGCAATCCAGTCCGGCGAATACACCACAAATCGGACCAGGAGGTGGCAGCAGTGGTAATGGCAACAATGGTGGCGCCGTTAGTGTGAGTAGCGGCAGTGGCGGAAATCCCGGTGGAAATAGTGGGCCACTACCACCAGGGGGCAGTGGAGGCGATGCAAACGTAGCAGGTGGCAATAGCAATGGTAGTGGACCTGGCGGTAATAGTAGTAATGGACAAGCCGCTGGTGGTATGAACTCTGCTGGTACTGCAGCAACTGGAGGTACATCAGCGTCGAATGCAACAGCCGCACAAAATGCCACACTCAAATGTACATTGTGTCAAGAGCGGCTAGAAGATACACATTTCGTGCAGTGCCCGTCAGTTAATCATCATAAGTTCTGCTTCCCCTGCAGTCGAGAGAGTATCAAACGGCAAAATGTAAGTTATATATGATACATAAATATTTTAAAACAATACAATATTTTTAAGTGTGAAATGACTAATATTTGCATAAACTTACAGGGTCTTGGAAACGAAGTGTACTGTCCCAGTGGCGATCGCTGTCCATTAGCTAATTCGACGATTCCGTGGGCTTTCATGCAGGGTGAAATTACCACTATACTGGGTGAGGAGGTAAAGGTGAAGAAGGAGCGTGAATCTTAATGTCCATTTTATTGTAAAAAGCTGCGGCGGGCTTTGGAAAATTTTTAAACACAACACTTAACTGGAAGACAAAGAAAACTAAAGTTTTTTGAGTCAAAACTATTGTATTGAGATTGTGTGAGTAGTTTGAAACTCACATGTTGAAAGAATATTAAAGCAAAAAGTACAGAAATAAGCATAGAAATAGAAGTTTAATAGTTGTGAAGCAGTTTTATTAAATGGAGTTCGGTAACAGCAAAAGCAAAACCAAGTTTAAACAGCCCAGATTGTGGTCAGTAAAGCTTACAAAGCTAGTATTGAGTGCGAAGACGGAATGTTTGGCTAAAAATATTTAGCATCAATAAATAAAAGGAAAACAAAAAAAATTAAAAAAAAAAATGCACAAATGAATGGAGGCAGTTGGGCGTTTTTTTGTGAAAAACAAAACTAGCAAAATATTGGTTTTGAATTGGAAATTTTTTGAAAAGCTGATTAGCATTTTGAATACAATCACGTTTGTGTGGTGGCGCAAAAAAGTTGTACGAGAACTGTTTATCCTGTGTGCGGCGCACAGTTCAGACCACTTGAGCACCTTGCTTTCGTGCTGGTCCTCCATGCAGGAGTGCAAACTTTGAACTTTCTTGGTAATTGCTGTATGAACCAGTATACAGCAATATTATAAAATAGATTACATACATATACATATATAAACTATATTAAACAAAAAAAAAATTAAAAAAAAATAATAACAATTTTAATTGAAGATTTTTGTGTAGAGCAGCAAGCAGTTGGAAAGTGCAAAAGATGGGCAAAAGTTCATGCATATAAGATATTTAATTAGAAAACAAAAACGCCCACACAACAATTTTGTAGGCCGAAAAAGCCAAAACCCAGTGCAGATTGAAGCACTTTTAAATAAGAAATTCAAAATATATAAACAAAAAAACTGTGCGCTTGACTTGAATAGCGTTTAATTTATTTATTTTACATTTGGTGTTTTTATTTACTGTATTAAAACAAATATATTTTTTGTTGGAATACAAAAACTTTTCGGAGACTTTATTTATTTATTTTTACTGCTTTGCGAAACGTAAACTGCTCATTTTTCGAAAACATTTAATTATTTGAAAAAAAAACTTGATTTACAATTTTATGACAAAAAAAAAAAGAACCTGAAAAATTCAAAGTTAAACAAAAAATTCAAAACAACATAAAAATAAAATCAAAAAATTAATCTAACATAATATTGGTTTAAACTTAAGTGTACATAATGCCTAATTTGTAAGATATGAAGTAATTTTTCGTTAATATTTTTACGCATATTTGTAGTAACTACAAATATAAGAAATAATATTTTAATATATTTTTGTTGTTGCGTTTTATGTAAAAAAAAGCACCACATTGGTTTAATTTTATTAAAATGTAATAATTTAAAATTATATGTAAAATAATTATTAAGTTCAAGTATATTTTAGTTTAAAACTACAGAACATTTATAAAGGAAGTAATTTTTTTAAGTGTATTTTGCCAATTATTTTTGGCGCTTATTTAAGGCAATGTTGTATTTGTATTTGGTAGTGATTTGTTTGTAGTTTGGCAAAATAAAAATAAAATAAAAATTTTTAAAGGCATAAAAAATAAAAAAATAAAAACGATTTGACCCAAGCAGCAAGGTGTTAGCATTAATTGTGTAGCGTTTATAACGCCGAACAGATTTGTCGTGCGTATGCGACTTTTAAAGAAAGAGTCGCAACAAACAAAATATTCATACAAATTTGTAATACAACCGTCAGTGATTATATTTGCGTTTAAAAAATGGGAAATAAAATATTTATTAGTCAATCAAAAATGTACTGCAAATTAAAATAAATTAAATAAAGTAAAATGCATTATTGATAAACAATTTTTAACGCGTATTCCAATTCTAACAGTAAATTAATTTGTAAAAATTTGTTTATAATAAAACACTAAAAAAATACATGTATTAATTTGTAAATTTTTTCAACGCCAACCAAGTTGCGGCGTACAAAAAAATATATATCGTAGTTTGTAGTTGAAAAGGAAAATAAAAGCAGTAAATAATTATTTAATTGCAAATTGCAACAACTAAACAATCCTAACTAATGACTACACCTAAATACATATACATATAATACACATTAGATTTACATTGCGCATTAAAATTACATGTATAACATAAAATTACCAACAACAACAGTGAAAACAAACAAAAAAAATTGCAAACGAATAATTTGTAAACTTACCATGTAAGAATATGAAATATTTCAACGTGAATAATAAAATATTGGAAAACATTTCAAAAATAATTTAGTGGATATGTGAAAAAAGAATGTGTTGAATTTGTATTTATTTTCCAGAAGAGGTGGTTAAATAAACATATGTAGGTGTGTATTAAACGAAAGGCAAAAGAGGAATTGGCATATATGCTATATGTACATATGTATGTATCTAAGCACAGGAGCTATTTAAAAAAAAAATAGAATGAGTAAAATTGATATAGGTATTAACATTGTCACGGGAAGTGAGTATTTAGTAGAAAAAGAAATTTAGCAAAAAGGAAGCTTTATTTGCTTGCATGAACACAACGCAGGCGATTTCCGTAACGAATTTTTAATGTTGTAATGATCAAAACCTTTTTACACCGCAATTTTAATATTTTACATATGTATGTACATACATATTTGCTAAAAAATTTCACATTTTTCAAGTTAGCTTGCAGATTTTTCACCTTACTTTAAAGCACCTTTGGAATTTCAATTGCCTTCTTGTGTGCAGCAAGTGGTCTTCTTCACGGCTAACTATATATATTTTATTATTATTATATATTTCTTTCTAAAGTCTTATTTTCTAACTTGAACTGCGAAACCAACTTTTTAAACGAACGGAATTTGGTTTATTTAAAAATATGTATCCGCCGCGTTGTCTGAGCGGTGATGCCAGAATGGCAAAAATCGCTTGTCACTGTTAAGGCGAGCACACACGTTGCCATTTCGATTTGCCAGCTCGAATTGACACTTCACGTATAGATTTCTTGAAAATAGTGTTGAATAAAGTATTTATTTTATTTTTTATAATTCTATTAAACATTCTAAGGCGCCGACAAAGTATTAAAAACTACTACGAACGAGAAATAATATATAAAAATGTCTAAACTTGGAAGATATTATATATTGTAAGCGATATATTGACGGAATTAAATAACATACATAATTATGTGTTTAATGTAATAATACAGGAACTTATAAAATTTGTAAGTATGAAATAAAATGAAACAATGACAATTATGCATCTACGGTTTTTTAATAGAGGTGTGTCATGAGAGTCCAAATTGGTTTTGGGAAATATTACAAAAGTGATAGTTTTTGTCCGGTTGAAGATTTAGACCCATCCGGAGTAAAGACTGGCATGTCATATTGTGAAGTCACAGGAGTACATATGATAAAGTAGTTTCAAAGATCATTCTTCACGAGTGGAACCAACCAGCAGGTGAACAGACAGATTTGACCCATGTAATAATACTTCAAGTACACTCTCCGTGTACCCTTACGTGACCATTTTGCATATGTTTAGTGAACCTTACCTAATCGCAAATTATTTGCTAAATATTTTCTCTTTTTGTGTTGGAGAATGAAATCACGAATTATTTTAAGTTTAGACAGTTGCTTTCATACGGTAACTACTAGTTTTGACAACCGACATTGAAAAAAAAAAACAATTATTAAAAATTAGGAGATGTTAGGAAAGCATATCACAAGAATTACATTTCTTCATTCTTTGCGACGAAAACGGCTACAAAACAGACGAGGAAGAATAATGTAGCAACTTATTGGAAAATGGCGAAAAATTTAAGCTTTGGTAATGAAATATAATTAATTTCAAGAATAGAATTGTCGGGGGAGTGTGAAGCATATAAATAAAAGTTATTTCTTTCGTCGAAAATGCCAAAACAAGTGAAAAACATGCATCTTCACAATTGCGTGGGCGAAACAAACTTATAATGGCTGCTGGGAAATGTTTTTGTGTGAAAAATTGTTTACGATTATTGCAGTTCCTATACTAAATTTATTGAAGTTTTTAAATAATTGTACCAGAAAGCATTTATTCAACAATATATATGTATAAACTACTAATGCATTAACGTTTGCCAAGCGGCGCGTACAGTGTTTTTCGTTAATTTTGTCACTGTGTATGTAAAGTTTTTTTTTTTCAAATTTGGAGTATGGTTGAATCACCATTGTTTGGGGGCAAGAGTGTTTTTTATATGCTGCTTTACATTGTTGTTGTAAGCTCTGTTACTTTTGTTGGTATTGCAGCAGTAGAAGTTAGCGCAATGACTGGCGCCATTAAACGTTTTCAGGGTCAGGGTTATAATTTTAGCGTGTATATTAAAAATTAACAAAAAAATATACATATACATGCATATAAAGAGGTAATATTTCTTGCATCAGTGCTTATGCACTGAGCTCACGAAACGATTGTTGAGTCAGTTGTATTTGGCAGGTGTCCCATTAATGATTTTCTCGCCATCTCATAATTCTTCTCAACTTTGGCTCATTTTCAGATAACGAAAACATTCCTAGGGCAACCGGTTCGCCGCCCACAACATCAACAACAACCACCAATGCCACCCACCAACACTCAATGCAGCAGCAACAGCAAACTACATCAACCGGCATACATTTGACCAGCTACAGCACTTCCTGTGCCGGTTGTTTGAATGCTTTGAACATAAGTCGTGAGGAATTCGTTATTGCTTTGGGTCAAGAATGGCATAGCGATTGTTTTCGGTGTTCCGTTTGTGATGCTCATTTACACAATTGGTATTTCGAAAAGGATGGTCTACTCTTTTGCCGTGATGATTACTATCAACGTTTTGGTGAATGTTGTCAACAATGCAGTGCCATTATAACTGGTCCTGTTATGGTAGCTGGTGATCATAAATTTCATCCAGAATGTTTTTGTTGTAGTGCTTGTGCAATATTCATAGGTGAAGGTGAAGCATATGCTTTGGTGGAACGTTCTAAACTCTATTGCGGCAATTGCTACAAACAGCAAGAAACACATACAGTGGTGAGTGATTTGAATGCGCTCAGCGCTGGTACGGCTGGTAGTGATCAGAAAATCGGGAATAAACATACAAATGCAATAAACGCTAAAGCAAAACCCATACATTCCATACGACTGGTGGAGATACCCAAAGATGCAGCGCCAGGTCTGCGTCTCTCTGTGGATAATGTAAGCGTGCAACGGCATTATTTGGATGGCGGCAGTGGTGGTAGCGGTGGCACTGGTAGTGGTGCCGGTGCGAACGCATTCCGTGTACACTCACCAACACATGCTAAACGCTTAGATGGCCCACTCGAAGTATGTCCGGCCGTGCGCATTTCTGAGTAAGTACTAGTGGAGGATATTTTTTTTTTTTAAATTTAAATTACTAATCACGCTGCATTTACTATTTGCTGTGTCTATTTCTTTTTTTTTTTTTGTACGAGTATATTTTTAAAAAGCATAACCATTTGTGTACAATATGACTACCAGTGCTTTCGTATAATTTAGAAAAATCTTATTAATTAAATGCTTTTCAGTTACACTTAATGCTTTTGAAATTGTCGATTGTATACAGAGTGATTACTTACATACACTAATAGTGCAGAATTGTGTCATACAATATTTGAATGTAACGACTGACGACGCGCTGCATGCGCTCACTCCATGCCAATGCGACACATTTACGCAGAAAAGCCATAAATAAGCATTGCAAAGCGATTTATTTTTTTTTGACTTGCTCACTCACCTTTTCAACGTGATTTGGTAGAAATATATTTATGTACTCATATGTTCCTTAATACATACATGTATTACATGCGTCCAACTGTCTCAACCTATTTAATGCAAGTGATAAATGTCTCGGTTATTTATTTACTTATTTACATTGAAAATAATTCGCATACCTGCACGCTTATCAGCCAGTCAGCCAACCAGCCGGTTGCTTTGTCTTTTTTTCCACATTTTGACGCTGACTCGTCGTGCGATTGCAAGTGATTGTTAAAGCTACTTACTCTATATAAAATATTTTGTATGTTTGTATAAACATTACTCCGTATTTATTTATTTTCTGCTGGCTCGGCCTTACTCCCAACTTATCAGCTTATTTAGCGCACGGTTCGGCAACCAACTTACGCTGAATTTTATTTCAATATTGTCGCAATCGCAAAAAATAATGCATTAGTCATACACCATATCGTGTATGTATGTGTATGGATATGTTTATTGTTGATAAGAGCCAGTTGTTTGGTTGTGCCTCCAAGCGGGCACAGTAAGTAATCATGCATCAGCATTTTCTCCGCTTAACCGGTCCGATTGTGCTGTGCATTATTGGTGGTCAGCTGTGCACAAATGAGTAGTTGATTTTTTTCATACTCAATGCAGTGTTAAATGTTTGCAAGACATAAAGGAAAAGATTTGGAAAATTGTTTTGAAAAAAAAAAAAATTCATAATAAATATAATAAGTAATAATAATAAATTAAATAAATAATAATAATACATTAAATAAATAATAATAGTAATTAAAATAAATAATAATAATAAATAAAATAAGTAATAATAATAAATAAAATAAATAATAATAATAAATAAAATAAATAACAGTAAACACTGTGCCTGCAATGCAATTATAAAACATATACGTATATGTATTTGTGACTAGTGCGTTTTGTGGGTGTTATTTTTGCAACTACAAAGAGCAAACAACCCAAAATAATGTGTATACATAATAAATAAACTTTAAACAATAAAACAGAATGTATAAAGTGGAAATTGCAAATGTGGAATAAAACAGAAATCAATCTTCATATCAACTTGTGGATGTGAAATTACGATTTTTTGAATTTCAATAGTAAAAATACAGGTAATTTTAAAGTGTTAAAATATTTTTTTTTGGAAAATATTCAATAAATGAATTTAAAGTAATAAAAACACACAGTTCAATATAAAAAATTCAGTGCCGAAAAAATGTCACAATTTCAAAATTATAAAAAAAATCCTCTCTTTTGGATTTGAATGTCAAAAACATTAATCAAATAATTTTGAGATTATAGTGTTAATATGATAGGGGTATTCATATATATATTCATAACGATTTCCCAATTGCAAGTTTTCGAAGTTTTTCCGCTAGCCACCTTCAAAGGAGCGTTTATAGTAGTTAAATTTACCTCCCCAAAGCTTTAAACGGTATTTTCGTTTTAAAAAAAATTCATTCTATGCACTTAATCAACTGCCACGCCTTAAAAATACACTAATTGAAAAAATATATAAAATTAATTAGCATAAAAATTTACTACTAATATGAAAAATCCACATTTCTAACAACATTTAATGTCATTTTTACTAATTTCCATTTTTTGTCTCTTCCTCTCTTTCCAATTTAAATAAAATGCATACTCTCCTTACTCGCTGTCGCTTGTCTACGTGCTTTATTATAAATTGGTTCATACACATGTATGTACATTTATGTGCTGTGCGTGTGTATTTTTCCTGTATTAACGAATCATACACAAAACAAAATAAAAAAAAACACACAAATTAACCAAAAATACATTTAATAATAATAATAAAAAAAACCAACGACAACAAAATAACTGTAAACATCTATTTTTATAACATAACCTACCATCAATAAATTTATATGTATTACGTACATATTTGTATGTATGTACAACATCGGATGCAGATTCATTTGTAGAATATATGGTCGTGTTGGAAAATATGTTTTCTCCTTTATAACATCGGTTATCGATCAGTGTTGTGGTAGCGATTATAGGTAAAATAAAATAAAAAAAATGCTTACATTTTTCAATACTAATTTTAATAATTTAATACATTTTTTTTAATATTTTTTAAATATTTTTTAAAAACTTTTTACTAAAATTCTTTTTTTTTAATTTTTTTTTTCTATTTTTTAATTTAGTTACTAATTTCTTTCAGTCTTAACTTTTTCCTTTTTTTCTTTTTTTATAGCTAAATCTTTTTTGAATTCTTTTTCTTTATATATGTACATATCTTAAATTTTTTTTCTTAATATGTATTTTTTAAAAAAAATTTATTTGCAATATTTTGTTTTCTTTTTCATATTTTTTGCCAAATATTATATTTTTTTTTTTAATTTTAATATTTAAATATTTGACCATTTAGGTCTTTAATTTGTTTTTATTTTAATTTTTTATAATTAAATTTTTAATTTTATGTTTTTTCTTAATGCTTTTCTAATTTTCTAATTTTTTTTTGAAATTTTCCTAAAAGTTTTTTTCAAATACATCTTTTTAATATTTTTTTTCTAAATACATATTTTTTAATATATCATCTAAATAAATAATTTTTTTTAATATTTATTTTTAATAAATATTTTTTAATTATTGTTTTTCGAAATATATATTGTTTAAATTTTTTTTTGCTTTTCAATATGTTTTTTTTTGTAAAATTGCTTTTAGTTTTCTAAAATGGACGTGTTTTTTTATTACTTTTCTTTTTTAATATTTATTTTCGTATAATTAACTACTTAAAGATTTTTATTTTTTTAATTTTTTTCTTCTAATATACTGTTTTAAGACTTTCAAAACATTTTTTTTCATTGGTTTTTATAAACATATTTTTTAAATTGATTTTCTAAATATTTGTTTTTAAATTGGGTATTTAAATTTTTTTTTATAAATTTCTTCTAAATAGTTTTTTTAATTCTAATAATTTTTTTTAATTTAACTGCTTTTTTTTAAACTTAAAAAGAGAAATTATTTTGAAATAATGCTTTCTTTTTATTTTTTTTTTCAAATAAATTTTTTTAATTTTTTTTTTTTAATATTATATTTTTTTATATTATATTTTTTAAAATATTTTATGTTTAAATATTTTTTTACATTTCTTTTTAATATTTTTTGTTTAAATATTTTTTTTATATATATATATTTTTTAAATTGATTTTCTAAATACTTGTTTTTAAATTGGATTTTAAATTTTTTTTCATAAATTTCTTCTAAATAGTTTTTTTTAATTCTAATAATAATTTTTTTTAAATTTAACTGCTTTTTTTAACTTAAAAAGAGAAATTATTTTGAAATAATGTTTTCTTTTTATTATATTTTTTTAAATATATTTTTTTAATTTTTTTTTAATATTATAATTTTTTATTTTATTTTTTTTTATATTATATTTTTTAAAATATTTTTTGTTTAAATATTTTTTTTTGTATTTTTTGTTTAAATATTTTTTTTTTATATTTTTTTTTAATATTTTATTTTATATTTTTTTTTAAATTTTGTTTATTTTTTTTTAATTTTTTTTTTTGAATATTTTCTGTTTAAATATTTTTTTGTTTAATTTTTTTTAAATATTTAGTTTTTATTTAAATATTTGTTTTTATATATTTTTAAATTCTTTTTAAATTTTTTCTAAAAGTTTTTTATATATTTTTTTTTACAGTATTTTAAATAAATTACTAATACTTTTATAATTTTTTCTAAAATGATAAGTACAAAAGCTATGGTAATTGGTTTTCGATTGTGCTTGGAAACTCGTTAGAGCTCGCTTAAGCTTCAGTGAACGCGCCACTAAGAGCCGAGAAAGTGCGCCAGCTAACTAAGCTGAGTCTTAGGAAGACTTTTGTGTTCCTCCACTATCTGGTACAGATCAGCGGAACTGATGGCAACAACACAAGTTGCAGTCGCGGTACAACGTCTGAGCCGGTTTCTGGCAATCCTTCTTTATGTGGTCCACTCTTGGTGATCACGAATAAATCCCTAGCCTTCATATACATACATACATACATAACTAGATTAATTGTTAAAATGACCAATTAACCTTAAACTTGTTGTTTTATCTCTTCTTTCTCGCCTTGGTTTTTCCTTGAAACTGTGATTGAGCGCTTATCACCGTGATTTACACAAGAACTTTGTAGAATATAAATGTAATTCTCTAGCAAATTCTAATTAATCATAAAAATCGCAACCATAAGACAGAGACTCATAAATCAAAGTTTTCTTTTTGAGATAATCACATGGTGACGTTTCAAAGAAGCAGAAGAAGATGGTTAATTCCAGCTTCATAGCTAAACTCGCAATAAGGTTGGGTCTGGGAATTTTGACGGAAGGAAGGAAGGTTTGAGGCTTAAACGAAAGCAGAGACCACTCTACTGCTAGACTGAATTCTACCATACCGCTACGTCAGCTTTACATGCCTTAAATAGCTCAGGCACTGAAGCCCAAGTAGAGCTTGTCCACCTCGAAAACCATTTATCGCTTTAGTTAACAACAAAAATAAATATTTTTTTATAAAATAATAATACAGTTCCCCCTTTTTAATAAACTTTCTCTCCCTCTCCCCAGAATTGACGTGAACTTAGCGAACCTACACATTGGCGATCGCATCTTGGAGGTGAACGGCACACCCGTCAACGATTCATCCATCGAACACATCGACAAATTAATACGTAGCACCGAGAAAATCCTTCAACTGACTGTCGAACACGACCCGGTGCAGGTGTGTCGCAGCTGCAGTCAAGCCGATATTGTGCAAAGGCCCACATCCTACAGTGATCTACCGCCATTGGCCACCTCAGCGTCGAGCATTGAAGTTTACGGACGACGCAGCGTTACCGACTCGCTCACCGGCAGCACAAGTACCAGCACGATCGCACCACACAGCAACAGCAGCGATTGTGGTAGCGGCGGCAGCTCACCTACACGCCTTACCAAGCAGGATAGAGAGCGAATTTACAAGCGCAAGGACGAGGGTTATATAAGCGGCACAAAGACACGTCAATTACGCAAATGCAAGAATTTGAATATGATTGCTAGTGAACAACACGCATTACCACACGCAGGCTCCACACACTCCATAGGACCCACAACGAGTAGTGCGATTGGTGCCAACACCACTGCGGCCGCAACGGCGGCAGATCCCACACAGCTGGGCATGCGTTTGCGCGAGAAGGAACGTTGCTCGAGCATGTCGAAGCTGTTGGACGAACAACATGCGCCCACCGAACAGATTTACGATCTTTCGCGCACGAAGTCGTTTCGCGTGGAGCCAAAACCGCAACGCATCTTTCGTGCATCCGATCTTGTCTTGGGCGAACTGCTCGGTAAGGGCTTCTTTGGGCAAGTGTACAAGGTGACGCATCGCCTGACAAAGGAAGTGATGGTGTTGAAGGAGCTGTATCGCGTGGATGAAGAAGCGCAGCGTAACTTCCTGAAAGAGGTTGCGGTGCTGCGTTCGTTGCATCACAAAAATGTGCTTCGTTTCATCGGTGTGCTGTACAAGGACAAAAAATTGCATTTGGTTACGGAGTATATTGCGGGCGGTTCGCTTAAGGAGCTCATACACGATTCAGGTTTGCCGCTCGTTTGGCCGCAGCGTGTCTCATTCGCCAAGGACATCGCTTGCGGTATGAGTTATTTGCATCGCATGAATATTATACATCGCGACCTGAATTCGTTGAATTGCCTCGTGCGCGAAGACCTTTCGGTGATTGTGGCCGACTTTGGTTTGGCGCGCATCATTACGGCGCCGTTCTACAGCGCTGGTAGTAGTAGTGGCGCTGGCGCTAGCGGTTTGTTGGGCAGTAGTAGTAGCAGCGAACGTTGGTCAGGCGGCGCGTGTCTAAGTCCAAATGGCACTCTGGGACGCAGCAAGAGCCGACAACGTAGGCAGCGCTATACGGTTGTGGGTAATCCCTACTGGATGGCGCCGGAAATGATGAAAGGACTCAAGTATGATGAGAAAGTGGATGTGTTCTCTTTCGGCATCGTGCTGTGCGAGGTAAGTACTCTCTCTTCGGCGCAAGTTAATGTAAATTTCTGAAAGTTGTTCTTGTACTTACAGATTATCGGACGCGTGCAAGCCGATCCAGACTTTTTGCCACGCACTTCTGACTTTGGCTTGAATCAGAAAGTATTCCGCGACAAGTTTTGCCAACAGTGCCCAGAGGCTTTTTTCAAAATCGCCTTTCTTTGCTGTGATCTCAATCCAGATAAAAGGTGGGTCTCATTTATTTTTGTTTGAATTGGGATTAACAGTTATACTCCATTTCTCCCCAACGTCACAGACCGTCCTTTGAAATACTCGAAATATGGTTGGAAAACCTACTTGCCTCCGCTGCCATGAATCAGTCGTTGCCTTCCGAGTTGTTGTACGACATTGAAAATTATAAGGGTACCATCAGCATTAGCAGCACACCGGATGGCATGCTGACGCCCAAGTCGAATCGTAGTCGTGATGATCTGGACGAAGTGGGCGACACACAACGCAAACAAACGCCGCCGAAACCCGAAATGCCCGCAGTGACTGCCGCACAACCGACGATATGCGAAGAGAGCCTTAAAGAAAACATCGACTTTAGCAGTGATGTGATTAAAGCGGAGGGTAAAGAGAATGCGGTTATTCTGCGCAGAGATATGCCGAAATCGCCACATTTGGGTAAAGACTTTTCGCCCACAGGCGAACGCATACGCGATAGCATGCGCGCACGTCGACGCCAAAGGCTGATGCAGGCTGCTCAACAACGCGGTTCGACACCGGAGAACAAGTGCACCGATCGTGTGCTAGAAGCTGTCAAGCAAACTCTGCAGAATGGCGCACCGCTGAGCAGCTGTAACGGTAATGGTGGCACAAAAAAGAGTCGTCCCTACGGCGAGAAGGGTTTTCTTTTGGACATCAATCGCGACGGCGATTTACGGCTGAATAATGTGAAAGACTTGAATTATTGCTCAGATTTCGACTCGAGTTGTGACACGAGCCTGAACTACCATGAGGTTAATGCGACGGATGATATAAAGGCGTTGGAGTGCGAAATCCCTGCCGCGCAGCTGATAAACCGACCGGCGGTTTTGCGCGAAGAGTGCGCGGAGGAAGAAGTACAAAGTCGTAGCGAGGCGTTGAAAGATGCGGTGCCTACCACGTTACTGGATGCAGAAATGCAGCCAACCGCTGAACCGGCAACGTCTGTGCAATCAGAGGTGGCGCCATCAACCAGCGAAGAGGTTGATGCCGCGTCGCTCAGCACCATGCAGCAGATACAGAAAAAGATTGCGGCGAAGTCCTATCGCACCGCTCTCGACGATATACGTACAAAGTTGAATTTGTGTCGTAATAAATTCGACACAATCGACGCGGCGAACAGGCGTAATTTCAGCAACTCGCAAAACTCAATGAAGGCCTTCTTCCGTTCGCGTAACGCACGGTCCACAGTAACAAGCCCTACAGAGTCTACAAGCGCCGGTGAAAGTGTGTACAAAACGCCACCCGAGGCACTGAAAATGTTTCAGCGCTTGGAAGCGGAAAGCGCTGCTGCATCGCCTACTTCCACGCCAACCAGCGAATTAGCGCGCCTACCCGGTCAGAGTTTTGTCGCTGCCGCTGGTAACAGTAACAGCAGCACTTATCGTATCAATCAAACGCCCATCTTCGGACGCAAACCGCCTCCCAGACAAGTCGAGCTGTATACACCACACGCTGAGTCCATGGAGAATCTGCACACAGGCTTGCCGCCCATGACCGTGTCAACGCCAGAGCCAACGCGCAAAGACAAGAGCAGTCCCGGCAGTGCTAACAAGCGCATGAAGTCGCCGAAACGTCCAGTAAGTACATTTCGTAGTTATCTCAATGAGGCTGCTGCGGACGAAAAAGTGGCATTGCCTACGCGTCAGGCGGGTGCAACTGTTGCGGCGGCGGCACCGATGCCGGTGGAGACGACGCCTAAAAAGAATCGTCGTCTTAATAGCGGCAAAGAGAGTACAAATGAACAGCGTTGGGAGTCGGAGAAACCCGAGAAGACAACAATGGCGAGTAAAAGTCGCATTTTTGGTTTTCGAAGTCCGGCAAAATCATCGAATTCATCGACATCAGCAACGCCTGGAACGACGACGACAAAACAGGCGGTGCAACGGCGTACACTATCGCCGACAAAAGCTAGCGACGCGCGTCGACTGGCCAGCAGACAAGAAGTGCAAAACACAGGTGAGCTCGTTAGAATGCTGAAATATGTTTTTTTGTTTTTGCTTAGAAACACTTTGCATCTTCCAATAGTTCTAAAACTTTCGAATTGTCGAAAGACACTAAGTTTTGGTTCAAGAAGGAATATTACGACGTTTGCTTCGTGTGTGAGAAAATTTTCAGTCTCCGAAAGTATTTCGAAAAGTTTCGAAATTTCGAGAAACGCTTAATTTCAGTTTTCGAATTCCATTGAGAATTCGGTACTACTTTTATGTGCCAAAGCAAGATACAATTATTGAATTGTTTTGTATTTGAAAACTTGTAATATTCGAAGAAGCACTAAATTGTAGTTTTTGAAAATTTTAAAAATTACAAAAGCACTAATTATATACTTTGAAGTTATTGTATTTTTTTATACACTTGATAATGCTTAGTTTTGTTTTTAGTAGTCATTTTCGAAAATAATTTCGAAAATTTTTGAATGTTTGAAAAACTTGAGTTCAGCTTTATTGGTAGTTTTGACTTTTATTTATTCAAAAAATGTAGCATTTTATTTAAAAAATAATGTATGTCAGACCATAAATTATGTTCGAAAAAGTTTATTTCTACGAAAATAGTTGATTTTAATTAGTGATATATGCATGTACAGCTTACAGCGATATGCATTTCCTTTTTTTTTCAAGTACCAAGATACGCTGTTTCCTTATTGTTGACATATTTCGAAAATACTCTTGTATGACGAAAATCTTTAATTTTTGAGTTACGGCGTTAAAGTTTTGTGTATACATTTCTGTGGCTGACACCGACTTTTTCGTACACAAGCAGTGAACTTTTCGCCTCAAAAGCACATAGCTGTCCTATAATGTGCATGGCTCGAAAATACTTCTATTCTGGGAAAAAAACTCTTTTTCGTTTTCAACACAAAACACGTGCGTGGCTATGAGTATGAACTAGAACAACACTTATTGGCTTTATATATTTTTCATTATTCATTACTTGAAAATTCATTAGCATTTTTTGTTTACTTTTAGCACCCACCATTCAACCGCAACGTCTGCGTCAAAGTCTTGCCAATACCAGTAGTCAACATAGCAATTATACAACAACAACTACACCAGCAAAGGCTAAAAGTACAACACGTCTTACAATACTCAGTCCAGAGAAAGTGCATCGGCTTAATGCAAAATTGACCGATCAGAAGGTGAAGGTGAAAGGTGGCGAAACAAAAACTGCGGCTACAGTAGTGAGCAATACAGCCATTGTAGGCAATAATAATGCTGAACAAGCTTTACAGCTGGAACGGCGTAAGCGTAAGCAGCTGACCACACGTTACTGATTTAATAAACGTATTTTTTTTTTTTTGGAAACAATAGACTAACCACGACGCTGTGTCGAGCGAAACAATGAAAAAGCTATAAAGCTAATTTCTTATATGTAGATTTAAAACGAATTAAAACGAAGTGCGTAAACGAACCCTCAATGTAGGTGAAAATAATTTGGAAAGTGTGTAATAGAATATTTTCGAAGAAATTGCTCATTTTATGGAAAAAAAATATAAAATCGAATATTATTGTATAGCTTGTGAATTGAATATTAGATAAAAGTATTTATGAAAATAATATATAAAATGAAAGCGTTAAAAGAAAAACGAATGTAAGAGTGGTATATTTCCATATATATTTATCGAAAGAGCGCTGATACGAACGCCATACGCCATACGAGTATAAAATATGTAAAAAAACTAATCAAATTATTGAATTAACAATGTAAATTGGAATAAGCTAAAGCTGTAAACAAATTAAATAATGTATTACTAACATTTAAATGTTAGTTGAAAAAGTGCCTAATTATACATAAATATATATATATACTATATGTAGCAATATAGAATGCAATATGCTTTTTACGCAATTAATTAATATACTCGATTCGAAAAAATTACTAAACGTTAAAAATCGTTTACCATAAGAGTATTAAAACAAGTAGTAATACTAAACATAACTGTTTCAATTAATTTTCGCGGCAGAGATTCTGCACAAAAATAAAAGATATTTGGTGAAGGAAAAAAAACACTTGAGAAACACATATTCACTACCTCACAAAAGACATACTAAATACTTGACTATATACATACATACATAAACACATAATTTACTAAAAACAAAAAACTACTTTAAAAAAGTTTACCTAAAAAAAACATACTAAACATGCCAATAAATAATAAATATTTGTGCTTTTTTTTAATTCTTGCTACCATCTAAACGTTATTTGTTGCAAGCTTTTAGGCGTAAATTGTTATTAATAACTAGTATATAGTAAAAGAAAAAACATTTGATTTTCCTTACTGCATCGCTTATATACAATTATATTGAAAAAAATTAGAAACGAAAAATGTAATTCTACAAAAAAATTTAATTACGGGTATTAAAAGCGCAGACAAATTATTCTAAATAAAATTTGTAAGCATACATATACTAAAGTTTATTAAAAAAGAATATCGAAATACTACTTCTAACTTCTACAAAAAAAAAAAAAATCCATTTACTGCTCACTAATTGAGGAAAAAAATATATAAAACAATAGAAATTTGTTGAAAGCGATGCATAAGATATTGCTGGAAACATCGTAAAAGACTTCAAAACGTATACATTCCAGTTTTTTTGAATGTTCGAAAATTCGAGAATGGTTTGATTTTGTAAATTTTTTCATGTGTTGCCATTAAGTTTTTTTTAAATTAATTAATTAATTAATTTTTTGTATATTCGACAGTTCGAAAATAATACAGAATCACATTTTTCGACCGCTATGAAAGATTATTGGATGTTTTAAATTTCTATTAAATTCGAAGCTCAAAATTATATTTTTTATTGTTAAATTATGTGTTTTTATTAATATTTTATACACATTTCTTTATTTTTTGTTCAATTTTTCTCTGTTAAAATTTTACAAATTATTTTCTTATGTTCGTAAATTCATACAACTACACTTAATGCTTATTAAGAATATTTGAAGTTTTTTTTTAAATTCTTTAAAGTGTGCGAACTTCAACATTTTACTTTTTTTTGTCGAATTTCATCAGTTTTTATGTCTTTTATCCCTAATAGTAGTGTTGGAAAACTGCTGTTGCCATTTTACTGCAATTTTTTTAATTATTAACTTTTGTTGCTGTAGATCCGAAAATTTAGCGCATTATAATTGTTTTCGAAATATTCTCTCAAATGTTTTTTACTTTTGGTCATTTTTGAATTTTGTAATTGTTTTATACACATTTTTTGCTGTAATTGCATTGCAATTCTATGAAAATTTTGAAGTTCTCGCAATGATCGAATTTTCGAAAATATTTAAAAAAACATATTCCATAGCTTTTGTAGTGTTTGGTTATGCTTAGTTTTACTCAAATAACGCTTTTTTTGGTATATTTTGTTTTTTTTCTGCTATAGTTACTAGAATTTTCGAAAATATTATTTTTGCCGTAAATATTTCACAGTATATGTATATCGAATGGGTTTGTAAAGCGAACTTAGTTTTTTCCATTGTTTTTATAAGTATTTGGCAGTTTTGTATTTATTCGAGTTTTCGAAAAAACTTATAAAATACTATAAATCGCAATATTATTATAGCAAAATTTCTGTTTTGATTTTTGGCATTTCTAGTTTAAAAATCTTATGTATGACTATACAAATAAATAAGCCGCAATTTTTTGTTATATATTTTTCCATTTCTATACATTTATTTTCACTAGCATTTTTTATACTCAATATTATATTTATATTATATTATTATATTTAAATAAAAAAGTTTTACAATTATTTTGTCTTTTAACTAATTTTTGTGAGTTTTCTATTAAACTTATTTGTCAATAAAAATATAAGTTACGCTTTATCGCACTATTAACGGTAATTTTTGTAAAACGACTAATATTATTTGATGTAAGTCAATTAACAGTATTTAAATAGTAGTTGAAAACGAAATATTTTTAAGTGACTATTTTTACACACACTCCATTTTTAAAGCGAACATATTTCGAATATATATTAGATTATAATTAAAATATTTTTCCATTAAAATTTGTTATTTTTAAGTTGACAAAAACAACATTCCCAAGTTTAGTGCTAAGCAATTTTGGACGAAAAAAATATAATTATATTTTTGAAAAAAAATAAATTTTTTAAAATATTAAAAATATTTTTTTGCAATATTAAAAATAAATTATAAAAAAAATTGCAATACACATAAATTTTTAAATCTTAAAAAAAAATAACATAAAACTTTGTTTGCCATTTTTGCACAATATTATTATTATATTATATTATATTAACGAATGCCTCGTTAATTTGGTTTTATTTAAGATATATTTTAAGCATAAATTAATAACGAAAACATTTTCTACGATTAATAAATTTCAATTTCAATTCAACAATATCTTTTATTGGTTTAAATAAAGATCAATCCTAAAAAATACAATTTTTAATTTTGTTTTATTTTTTTTATATTTTTTATTTTTATTTTTTATTTTAATTTTTATTTCTTTTCGTTAATCTTTTTATTTTCAATTGACAAAAATGTTTGAAGTTTTTTTTTTGATAAATATTTTAGGTTTTTAAAATTTCAACAGACTGGATCCTATTGCTCAAAAAAATTAAGGAATCCCTAATAATAGAATTAAAAAAATATATATATAAGGAAAAATAGTTTTTTACATTAACTGTTTGTTTAAAAAAAAAAAACATTAATAAGTAAACAGCAAAGATAATAGCCGAAACGAAAAGATAAATTTGAAAAGAAGACTTAAACGTATTGAAAAACATAAATGCATGAAACTGCTTATTTATTTCTTTACTTATTACTAACATAAATATTAATTCATATATTTACCAAATGAAAATTAAGAAATTCGGACATTTTTTTACCATTAAATATTACAAGTCAGATTAAAAACTCGACATATTTTCCCAAAATTTTTAATACCGAAAGATCAGAAATCCATCGATTAAAAATATTAACTTATAAAATAAAATAATATAAAATGAATAAAAAATATATATAAATTAAAATGAAATAAAATAAAATATGTATAAAATATATATAAAATGAATAATAAAATTAAAATAAAATAAAATAAAATAAAATAAAATAAAATAAAATAAAATAAAATAAAATAAAATAAAATAAAATAAAATAAAATAAAATAAAACAAAATAAAATAAAATAAACTAAATAAAAAAACAAGAAAAATTAAAAAACTAATTAAAATAAAAAAATTAAATAAAGTTAAAATAAATTAACGTTATTTATAAAAGAATAAATTTAAAATAATATAAAATCAAATAATATAAAATTAAAAAACAAATGAAAATTAAATAAAATAACATAAAATAAAATGTTGTTAACTTGGTTATTATCACTTAAGCGGAGCCTGCGCCAGTAAAGAGGAAGAAAAATTAAATTAAATTAAATTAATAAAAAATTAAATAAAATTAAAATTAATTTCTTTGATAAATTAAATAAAATAAAGAAGAATTGAAATGAAATTAAATGTGGTAAAATAAAAGCAAGAAATTCATTGAACAAAATACAGAGTTGCTCAAACGTAGTAAAAGTTAAGTACATTTATTGCAAATACTGTTGACAAGCACAGATGTTTATAGCAAACGAAAATGTGTTTTTTGGCCAATATTAAAATTACACAAATAACAATTTGAGAATAAAACTGAAATTTTAAATAGAGAGGAAATTTAAAAAGAAACTAAATAATGAATGAGAAAAAAAAATATAAAAGTTAAAAAGGTAAACAAATACAATTATTAAAAATAAAATATAAACGGAAAATCAAGTAAAACACAGAATTAATTAAAAATGAAATCAAAACAAGTTAATTAGTTAATTTTATATTTGCATTTTTTAAATTTTTTTTAATGAATTATTGAATAAATAAATAAATGTTTGAATAAATCAAATTACAAAATCAATCGATCAATTACAAATATTTGTAAAATCTACAACATAAAAAATATACCGAAATTTTCGGTTTAAGCAACCGAATGCACTAATTAACTAATTCATAAGCATATTTGTTAAGCAGTAAAAAATGAAATAATGAAGTGTGTGAAATGAGTTGCATTAAATAACAATTTAATACTCATATGTATGGTAAATACACAATGTAAGGAAAAGAAAATATGCATTAAATGGTTAAAAATATGTAATCAAATGTAAAATGGTACATATAATGTATGTAATTGTTATAATTGACTTCTTTTTAAAATATTTTGAAATACCAATAGTTTATTTAATTATTTTTAGATTTAATTTTTAGTTAGACAATTTTTGTTATTTATGTTATTTGGTTATATTAGTTTCATTTAATATTATTTTCTTTCAATTTTATTTTAATTTAATTTAATATTAATTTAATTAATATTAATTTAATTTATTAATTAATATTAATTTAATTAGATTAATTACTATTTAATATAACTTATACTAATTTAATTTTATTAAACTTATTTTTTTATTTTAATTTTATTAAACTTATTTTTTATATTAATTTTATTAAATTTATTTTTTTGGTTTAATTTTATTCTAAAATTAACTCAATTTTATTTTATATCATTTTGCCTTTTTATTGGGTTTATAATTTTATTATGCTAAACTTGTTTACCTTTTTTTTAAGTTTTTTATTTATATTCAATTTATTTTTTTTTTTATTTGATTGAACTGAGTTTAATTTTATCTAATTAATTTTGCCTTTTTATGGACTTTATATTATTTATTGTGTTAATTTTTTTTGCATTGTATTTTACTTTTAATTAAATACAACTGATTTTATTTCACTTTATTTAATGTAATAAAATTAATTTAATATTTTAAATTTAGTTATGCTTATTTAACTTAATTTTATTTAAATTAATGCAGTTTCATCAAAAATTTTGAATTTTTATTTAATTTGTAAATAAATTTTATTTATAATAGTTAATTTAATTTTTATTAAATTTTCATTTAGTTTGTTTTAATACAATTTTATTTTTTATATTTTATTTGAAGCTTTTTTATTTTGCTAAATTTAATTAAATCCTTTTTTAATTAATTTAATTTTCTTTTTATTTGATTTAATTCAGTTTTACTTCTTTATATATTTAATTTTACAATATGCTATTTTATTTTGCTTAATTTAATTAAATACTTTTATAGTCTTTTAATTAATTCAATGGTTTTATTTAATTTGATTTAATTTATATGTATATTTAATTTTAATTTATTTTACTTGCTATTTTATTTGGAAAATTTAATTTAAATTATTTAAATTTTTTATATTTATTTTTAAACAATTTTTATTTAATTAATTATTCTTATTTATAATTCTTATTTAAAATTCTTATTTAAGTTTATTTTAAATTTAATTTAATTTTTTATCTATTTATTTTTACTTATATTATTTTAGTTTAATGTAATTTACTTCATTTTTAATATAATTTTTATTAATTT